AAAAAAAAAAAAAAAAAAAAAAAAAAAAGAGAAGCCCATTCAGTTTTTCCATTCAATAGCTAAAATTTTTTTCTTTTCCTTTTTTTTTTTGTTGGTGTTCCATTAATAACTCAATAAATTTCTTAATGAATGAATCAAAATAACAACTGAACAAATAATAATTTCCTTTTGGTTGCTTATACTCTGTTGAATGGTACAGCCGTTAAATGGTACATCTGTTTCAGTTTAACATATTGCAAGCCTTTGCTGCCTATGATGCATCATGCTAAACAGATTCATACGGTAAACGACGACGACGACGACGACGAACGACGACGACGCCGACAATGACGACGAAGAAGAAGAAGCTGATGTTCCGAGCTAAAAGAATATTAATTGTTTCAATTTTTATCTTTTTTTTTCCTCACCCCTTAAATAACTATGAAAGACAATTTTTTGTTTTTGTACTTTTTTGTAAAGATAATTGAAAACGAAGTGAAAAACGAAAAAGAAAAAATAAGATGAAGTTTATAGGTGACTACTGATGTCAATGCAGTAAACTGTCAGAAGCAGCAGCTGAAACTTGTGGTTGGTTAATTCAACGAAAAAAAAAAAAAAGAAAAAGAAAAAAATTGTCTATCGATTTTAGCGTATTGCTTATATAAAACTTTTCTGCCAGTATTTTGTTTGGTTTTTTTTGTGTGTGTGTGTGTGTCTCAACAATAAAAAAAAAAAAAATTTAGTTTTGTCATCATTCATTCTGTATTTGTGTGTCTCTGTTCTTTTTTTTTTACCTCTTTAAAACTCTTTTACAAATAAAAGAAAAAAAATTTTCATTAAATAAACTCGAATGTTTACTGTTTGTCTGTAGTTGATGCCATATCATTAACTCAGTCAACAATAACTGAGTGTAACTTTTCAACTTCAAAATCAAAACAAAAAAAGAAAAAAAGAAAGGTCGAGTTGAAATGACTGAATGAGAAATAAAAAAACAGTTTTTTTCTTTTTGTTTTGCTTAAATATCCAAAGAAAAAAAAAAAAAAA